ACAAATTTAGCCTTCAGTATCGACCTGGATAGGAAGAGAATCTCACTTAAGTGAATAAAATATGTTGAAAACATGGATAATATATTCTACTTTTCATAAAACATATTTTATATAAAAAGACCAAGTTGTACAATATGGAATGTGAGAATGTGACAGATATTTCTATTTGAAGAAATGGCACAAATTTCTGTGACCTATCATACCCAAATATATCTCATTTAGACAAAAAATCATGTTGTAGTTGCTGAAATCTACTACTTACATTTCTAAAATTACTCCTACAAAAAGTTATGAGTAACACGGTGAGATATATATATATATATATATATATATATATAAATTAAATGAATTATGCATGACTAGTAGAACATGTAAGAAATTTAAAAGGCATAATTATCTGATTATGTTTATGATATGCTAATTTTTGCTGTCTTTTATATAAATATAAAATGATCATTGTACTTGGGAATTTGAAAATTCTGGCAAAACAAACCCTTTACTTGCCTCAGAGGGCATAGGCATTTTGAAGAATGCTACATTCTTTGGGGGACCCATGAAATAATTGTGCTGACTGAAAATTGAATATGTTATCAAAATTTGTTTTAGTTATGTATTATTTTATTTTTGAGGAGTTCATTATATATATAAATAAAATTCATTTTAATTTTTGCAAATAGTTATATCTGTTTACTTTCAATTAAGATAACTGATAAAGAAATCAATTTCTAAATGATTATGTGCATGTATATAACTTATCAAGTAAAGTAGTTAAAATAATTCATTGTGTATATTATCAAACACTTATTTCTTTGGTAATTTTCCTGAAATACTTTGGATTTTGTTACATCAAGTGCCTCTAACCATCTTTGACCCAGATACTGTTCTCCTTGATGACTGAATTTAGTGAAAATTTATAAATGCTTAATGAGTCCAAAAGCAGTAGGAAGGGTGTCAGGCAGATATCCATCAAGTTGAGGAGTTAATATCTGTATCTGCATTACATTCTAATTGATGGCTCTGTCTGATGTTTGAAAAGCGTTAAATTGCTGATGTACACGTGATGGAATGCCTATTGTCAGACGAGAAATGAAAACTCTGCCTCATCACTGCGGTTGGTTTTTAAATGATTTGTAGAGAAATGACTTTGAATATTTGTATTAGAGGTCAGTATTAGAGATCTCACTTTTCTGTAAGGAGCCTCTGTGTGCAAAGTCTTCTTTGAGCATAAACCATGCTCTACAATTAATTTTTGATTAAACCCTCAGAGGGAGAGAAACTTGTTTGTAAAAATGGTAGGGAAAAAATATCCAGAGTACCACATTGGGGCAGTGTATAAGTAAATTAATCAATAATGCATGAACTGAACAGTTAAAGAAGGAAATATCATATTGTGTCAAGATAGTAGGAATTTATTAATATTTAAACCAAAGAAGAAAAAAATGACTATAGCTAAGGCAGTATGGTATTTTATAATGAATGTTATGAAAATTGGATTTAAGAGCACTTAACATTAATTCACTACCCACTTTCATTATCATATTTTTATAAAACTAAGTCATTTTAAGAAGCTCATACCCAAACATCTCTTCTCAATTGTAACAAAGTTATTTGGCTTTAAACCTGTTTCCTCTTCGGTAATATGAGTGGGTTAGAATCATGGATTTTAGAGATTTGTTCTTTCTATGACCTTATTCAGGATTTTCCTAGACGCCTATATTTTGCTATTTAGTGTGATTTGTAGTCTTCCTCTATCAGCTTATTAGCCTTTTCCTAACCCATTTGAATTATTATCACAAACTTTGTTACTTCCTTTCTCTTTTTGACTTGATGTGACCAGAAACAGAACTCAGATGCTGTATTTTACTGAATCATTTTGAAAACCAGACCAAGCAGTGGAGAGGAAGGTGGCAAAGTAAAAGAGGGAAGGAATAAAAAGGATCTGAAGGATCATTCCTGATGTTGTTCTAATACCTAGTAGCAAATAAACACCTGTGATAACAGCATGTCATGCTTTGATGTTTTTTGTGGCGCTGAATATAGATTAAACATTAAAAAAAAGCAAGCAAAGCAACAACTATCACATATATTTGTGGGTGTAAACATTAGGCAACCTCCTCCCTTTCTCCACAAAGTGTGACAGAATTATATAATTTCTTTTTTCATCATTCGTATATACATTTATTTTTATATGTATGCATTTATTTTTAACTGAGGTAATATTGACATACCCCTATCAGATGTTACTGCCATAGTGCACCCACCACCAACTCACCCACATTCCAACACCGTAGACCGTTGTGCTTGCTTCTCTCTTTGGTGCTTCAGTTCTGTAGTCAGCTATTAAGGGTTAGTTTTTCAGCTTGTCTTTATCTGACTATTCATTTAGTTACTTTGTATTCCACATATTAGTGACACCAGCTGGTATTTATCTTTTTATTTCTGACTGTTTCACTTAGCTTATCCTTCCAAGCTCAGTCCATGTTGCAAATGGCATGAGTTCATCTTTTTTTTATCACTGAGTAGTATTCCACTGCATATATATATACCATATGTTTTTGATCCACTCATCTGTCCTGGGGAACTTAGGTTGTTTCTGTTGTTTAGCTATAGTAAATAGTGTTTGTATTCTTTTGAATTTTTTTTTTGATAGATGCCTAAGAGTGGAATTATCAGGATAATGTCAGCTCTGTGTTTAATGTTTTCAAACTCTTCTATACTATTTTCCATATGGATTGGGTCAGTATGCATTCCCACTAGCAGTGTAGGAAGGTTGACAATGGAGCTAAAAGCATGTAATGGAACAAGGACAGCCTCTTCCATAAATGGTGTTGGGAAACCTGGACAGCTCCATTCAAAATTATACAATTTCTTCTGAATTATATAAATCATTTCATTATTTTTCTAACAAGGCTGGGTAGCTCTCCTTTCTCTAAAACCAGAAATACTGCTTCTAGGCAGTATTCCCTATCCACACTTAATGTTTGTGGTTCACTGTCTCAATTTATCCTAATGTCAGCACTATGTTTATATCATAACTATACCCATTTCATAGAAGAAGATGCTAGTTTGGAGTAAAGCTAAGCCTTTTCTCAAGCTTACATTTCTCTAAATTTTCTCTTAATCTCTGGCTCATGCACTCCATCTTCAGCCATAGCATACCACTCTGGATTATTCAGATGTTCCATACACTATGCATTTTCATATCTCTGCATGATTGCAAATTTCCCCTGCTTGGATATCCTTATTCCATGCCCTGGCCTGTACTTAGTTAACATCTCCTGTGTCTTAGAGGTTACTTTCTTAAGGAATCATTTCCCATGTTCTACTAGAATCAATCACTCCTGAGTTTCCCTTGCACTTTTCTTGTTCTCTTTGGCTTACTTATTTTGTTTATAACTGGATTTCTCTCTACTCGAGGAATAGGGACCCATTTATCTTTGCCTTCGTCACCTATATCATTACCTGACATGCATTAGCTACTCCTCTTTATTGAGTAAATTCTGGTAAGGCTAAATCCTCTATCAAAGAGTGGCAGATGAGAATTCTTGTCAGAATTATAATTTTTATTTTGTATTGTTGAATATTTAATTATATTTCAGCTTTCTTAAATATTCATACCATTTTAATTTTATGGACCTCTGCTACTGAGAATTGGAGCTGTGTTATTGCCATAGTTCTGTGTATGATGGCATCCCCTTTCATGAAGTACTTCTTTTCTTTTTTTTTTAGATTTATTTATTTATGCATACAAGAACTGGGGTATAGGCCAGAGGTGTGGGGATGAGAGGATTCACCAGAGACAGAGTGGGGAACAGAACAGACAGACTGACTGAAATATACTGCTGAGGGGAGCAGTGGGTGAGTCAGGAGAGGTCTGCTGCACCATGTGGTTTGCTCCCTGGCCAGGGATCAAACTCAATGTTGCAATGGCTGCGGATAGCTTCATATGTTGCATCTTAACCCCTTGCACCACCAGGAAAGCCCAGTACTTCTTTTCTTTTAGAGTTTGCTTGTCAACTATTGGCCCTAAGGCAATTAGCTAATCACTTGTCAGTTGAGCTCTATTCTTTACCTACCACAATGGAGCACATAGAAAAATCATAAAACTTAGTAAGGATCCTCAGAACCCAGCTGGGGTGACAAATCTAATACACTGAAAATTTAAGTATGATTATTTTTAATCTGTAACCATAATACACAAGTGGTTTACTGAATACAGACTGAAGACCACTTGTAGTTAATTAGTTCTGTTATCCTAATACAACTCTGCAGGATACAACAAACTGTCATCCAAAACTGTGTGGAGAGAAAAATCACCATCTGCCATTCCTGGAGCAAGGTTTTGAAATCAAACATTTAGTAAGGCAAAAGGCTTTCCTCTTTGGATAGATGTCATTCCAGACTTTTATTTAAAGTGCAATGAGCCAAGCAGATTCACATCACTAATTCCATCAAATATCTTGTTCTTCTATGGTAGCCTTATGTTTTATATCATGTTTTGCTTCTCTATTTCTATGCCACTGCTACTTCATTTGGTTCTGCTTAATAGTATATGAAGTTGTGTTTTTAAAATTAACTCTGGTATATAAATTATTCCAGGATCTTTTCATTTTTTCCCTTTAACTTACCAAACGACAGCTTTATTGCTTCTGCCTAATTTTGCCTTCCTTATAGTACATTATTCTCAATGCAGTTTTTCATTTTTTTTTTTTTTTATTCTCCCGAGTTTCAAAGGTTATTGGTGTGCTTGTGTGGGTTTTTGTATAACTTTTCCAACAAGTGCCTTTCTTCTATTTTTTCATTTTTCTCTATAGTAACATTAACAACAAAATATAGATTAAATAATGTACTAATGTGTATTTCCCATTTATGCAGTCTATTTCCCTTGATTATAAACACAAAAATGTTAATTGTGGTTTACTGTTTTCTTTTGTCTTCACCTTGGGGATTTACTTTATTTTTTTTTATTTTAAGAAAATGTACTTCTCTTATTTTCATAGGTAAAAAGATGGCTTATCAGAAGGTCAGTGCAGATCAAAGAGCCCCAGGACACTCACATTTTTTAGATAATGATGATCTTCAAGCCACTGCCCTTGATTTAGAATGGGACATGGAAAAGGAATTGGAAGAGCCTGGTTTTGACCAGTTCCAACTAGATAGTTCTGAGAATCGAAACCTGGAGAATTCAGAGACTGCAGACCTCAATCTTGAGTCCATTCAGCCAGCAACTTCACCCAAAGGAAGATTCCAGAGACTTCAAGAAGAGTCTGATTACGTTACCCGTTATGCAAGATCTGCACCAAAAAGCACCCCCTGCAGCTTTTGCCGCCTTTTAAAAATACTTTGCACAGCTATCATTGTACTCATTTTTGGAATTTTGATAGGCTATTATGCTCATAAAGGCTGTCCTCCAGATGCTACATCTCCAGGAACACCTGATTCTCAGTTATACCAAGAGATTCTTAAGACAATCCAAGCAGAAGATATTAAGAAGTCTTTCAGGTAGGTGAGAAAGTCATGGATATTGGAGGGGTGCATCTTATGGGAATGATGTCTCACAGGGAGTGTCTAAATGATGATTTTGCCATGGTTTAAAGTCACCTTTACAAGGTTTACAGACAGAGTGTACGTTTTCAGATTATCATACTGAAATACAAATGTGTGATTCAGTTTATTAATTGATGATAAGAACTGTTAACTACTATTGTGAATAAAAGCATCTCTAGCTAGACTAGAGATGATATTCTCCCTTTTGGGAAGCCCAGGTAGGTCAAATAGAGATTTAAAGATTGTTGGATATAATAAAAACTATGTTGTTAGCCATATAACTGAAATTCTTAATGAAATAAAAATAAATACGGCTATTTATGGACTGCAGTAACTATCTCTAATGGTAAGAAGCTAAGAAAGGCACTGCTAGTATTTGAACTCTTGCATCCTTGGGCTTCCCAATGAGAACATATTTGTTGAAACACACTTGTTTCCATATATTAGGCAGTTCTAAAAATTTGACTCTAAGATCATTTTACAGTTGACCTTTCTAGCCAGAATGAGTTAAATTTTAAGTTAAAGCATAAGAAAATATTTTTTCCTACACCTTAATGTGCATTTTTGGAGCAGTGTCACTGATGTGATATAACTAGGGGTTAACTTGAAAGTGTTGTGATTTGTTATATTGTTAGCACATATGTTTACTTGTAAAGTGTTCCCTAAATTTTCCCAATGAAGTGAGGAATTTGAATGGGAAGGTTAGATAATAGCTTCTATAAAGTATCATCCATATATGCAGAGAAAGGACAATCCTAAGTATATCATATATGCTATTTGTGGGTAGATGAGAAAGAAGGGTACTATATCCCCAGGATATTCTTTCTAGGTACACTGACTTATTACAGCCAAGACATTGGCAGGTGTTCATTTATAGGGCATTTTCCAGGAGATTATGCCCACTGAAGTTTCATCAGTTAATCTATGTGCTGAAATAGCACATGTATCAATGTTGATAAATTATAATTATCTTCCTTAAGATCACTAGGAATCTGTTACCTACACTCTTCTGTTTCTGCTGTTCACTGTTGCATAAGCATCCCTAAACATGTAATATGCAGACAATAACACTTTCCATGGTATTTCTAAATGTGTTTATATTGAATTCAGCAGGAAGATATGCCATTGCCTAAATGAGTGCCTGTATCAGTCAGGATGTAACCAACACAAAAGAAAAATCCTTGGATATAAAAAGCAGAAGGCATTTAATGTAACAAAATGATTCCATTTGTGATGAAGAGCTGAAAAGGCAGCCATTGGACAGAGGCAGTCCATAGATTAATAACAAAATAAAGACATTACTAAACCTAGGTTGGAGGGATAAAAGGAGTTGGAGTAACCTAGGGAAAGCTTGGATTATTGCATACACAAATTGACGAGAGATAGAGTTTCAGTCAGAAACACCACTGAAGACACAACAGGGAAGTAGTACCGTAAGTTCTCCTTTCTTCCTAACATGCAGCATCCTACCCATCATCCCACCAGCTAAAAACAACAGGAAGGCTGTAACTCAGAATCTGGGAAGTTCATTCTGAAGAGTTCAGCTCCTTGAAGCAAAGGAAGGTCAATGGACTGTCAAAAATAGATAAACTAACATTCATTTATTATAAAGTTCTTTCCCAGAAGAGGATCCATGGCTTTAATTTTTCTTTAATATTAAGACTAATTGTCTTTCGTAAACAACTAGTTCATTTTTAATTTATGGAAACAATGACTCTAATAACCTTACCTTCATCCCTCTTTACTTTGGTTCTTGGTAAGTTCAGAGTCGAGTCTATGATGAAATCTTATGAAACTTCATGACATGTATTTTGTGTACTAATCACACCACGTAACTGCATTCTCTCCTTATATTCCTTTGAGTTTCTTTGGCCTACTGATTTTTGGTTTTAGCATTATATCCCTCTTTACAAAATGACCTATGTCTTCTTTGCCAACAGGAAGCAAATTTTAGAATTTAAATGTAAAAGTAAATAAAAATATTAATCATGTCCCTCAGAATGGGAGTTGCTTTATAATATGCTCTATATCCCCCTCTTAAATGAAAAAAAAAAATAACAATACTAAATTTCAAAACTTGCTGCAAAAATATAATTACCAGCATTTATACTTCCAGACAGTATTCAGTGGTTCGACACAAATTCACAATTATGCACCATCAAATGGTCAGTTTTTTCCTTATTGAGATAATAGATGCTTTTCTTCAAGAGATAATATTTTGATAGATATTTGTTTATAGTAACTTCCTATGAATAACAGCTCCTCAACTAAAGACAACTGTCCTCCCGCTACTCATGCTAATAACATGCCTTATTATTAGTTTCCATGTTTATGAAGTTATTGTAACATTAACTCTACATCCCAGGTTCCTACTAATTCCAGGTTTATGCTTAATGTCGAGTTGAGCCCATTCTTTTGTTCTCTCTTCTCTGTTGTTTTTCCATTCCTGTCTATGTTCTAAGATTATTTCAGTTCTTGCCAAGTATTCCAACAGTTGTGCAAGATAAAAGGTATTCCTTTTGTAATAGATTAAATTGCAAATACCTGGGGAAAACTGACCCAACTTGTTTTGCCCACCACCAGGCTCCTACATTCTAGCAGACATTGTAAAAGTGTTTTTCTTTATTTTTTTTAAGATTGATTTATTTTTATACAAGAACTAGGGTACAGCCCAGATGCACGGGAGGGTGAGAGGATTCACTGGAGACAGAACAGGGAACAGAACAGGCAGACTGAGGAAATATACAGCTGAGGGGAGCAGCAGGTGAGACAGGAGAGGTCTGATTCACCATGTGGGAGTCTTGCCAGCTGGCCAGTATCGAACCCATGCTGCAGAGGCTGTGGACATCTTCACAGTGCGGTGCTCAACTGCCTGCGCCACAAGGGAGGCCCTGAAAAGTGTTTTTCTAAGGGAGGAAATGAATGGGTGAATAAGTTAGAAAGAGAGAGAGAGAGAGGAGAGAGAGAGAGAGAGAAAGAGAGAGAGAACTTTTTCCAAAGTACCTTCCTGGATGGCAACAAAGAACATAACAGAGACAGAAGTAGAAGTATGCCTGAGAACTGTGGAAGGAATAAACCCGGAGTTGAAGAGGAGGGTATTAGCATGTGCATTAAAATTTCTCACAATGAAATATGATTAGTATCCTTTTGGGGGCAGAGATGTTTGTGATTCTGTGTCAAGTGCTTATCCTCAGTGTAAGTAATTTTGGTCTCTTGGGATGCTGGTCAGCTTGTGTAAAAACATATTTGCTTAGGTTTGTTGAAGAGGGCTCTTTAACTTAGAAGCAGCTTGAATGTGACAGGTTGCAATATATTGTCACTGTATAATAAAGTCACACTGAGGCTTTATGGTTATAAATTATTGAATGAATGATACATTAAAATCTCATAGGCATATTGCTAAAAAAGAGTAAAGTATTTATAAACCTCAAAATTGGTAAATATAATAATTATGAAATATATGAAGTGAATGAATCAATGATGTTAAGTTCATTTTTGATGCCAGGGATATATTGCCCTTTGACAGTTGTAGAGGCTGTGAAATGGTAAGAAGAAATGGCAGGAAGACATGGCAAAACTATGATGTAATTTAATTATTGATAATATGGTATATTTTTAATAAAATGGTGTTTTTGATTTCCTTACTTATAAATTATATATATACAGAAAGTTACTAAAGAATAAAGTGAAATTAACCCATAATAGTACTACTTTTTAAAATCATTTTCATCTTTTTCTGTCTGTAAAATTATATTATCCCATGCATATTCTTTTGAAATTTTTCACTTATATTTGAAAGCATTTTTCAAACTAATAAATATAGATTTAAATCATTACATTGAAACACTACTGGTGTTCCATTATATAAATGTTATGAATTTATTTAATCTGTATCTTATAAGTAAACATTTAGGTTATCTCTGCAGCCATTCTTGTACATAAGTCTTTGTGAGCTTATTTAATTATTCCCTTCTGATAAATTCCTGGAAGAGTAAACATAGATTCAGGGAGTTTAAACTTGTTAAGCTTTTTACTTATCTTAGCAAATTGCCTTGCAGGGTGTCAGCCTTTAAAGTTTCAATATTTTTTAATTGACCAAAATTAATGTTGGCAAAGTTTTATTTCTTTTTTTTTTTTTTTTTAAATTTATTTATTTATTTATGCAAGCACTGGGTACGGTCAGAAGTGCGGGAGGGTGAGAGAATTCACCAGAGCCAGAGCGGGGAGCAGAGCAGGCAGAAGGGCTGAAGTACACTGCTGAGGGGAGCAGCGGGCGGCAGGAGAGGTCTGGCGCCATGCGGGACCCTCCTCCAGTGGCCGGGGAGCAGCCGGGGATCGAACCAGCGCTGCAGAGGCTGCGGGCAGCTTCTCAACGCAGCGCTCAACCGCTGCGCCACCGGGGAGGCCCAAAGTTTTATTTCTTAATTGATATTTGTATTTCTTTTGTTTACATGAACAACTTTTTAAAGCATTTACCCATTCTTTTATAGATTCTTTTGTAAGGCCTTTATACATTCAGAAACTAATGCATTATAATATAAAATAGTCTGTCACATGATGCTGGCAGTATATTTAAAAAAATTATTTAGTAGACAAATAAATGAAATAGAAAAGCTATAAAATCTAAAGTTTTATCTTTTTTAAATGTTGCATCATTTGGAAAGGAGCTATATTTTTCAGTATTTTCTGTCTTGGTGCAGGTAATTATACATGAGTTAAACTGTGATGAGTGATATGATCTTTATGAAAATAGGTAAACATAAGGAAATCACCATATTTTCTTAGCAGATGTTTAACTGTTCAGAAACATTAGAAAATGCTATAAATTATCTGCCATAGTACTTTAATGAATGAGACTATTTATATTCTATAGTTTTTCATTTACAGGCATATCTTAGTAAGTATTCAATACAATAAATTAATGTGGACACTCAAATCTAATTTTCTCTTTTACT